CTCTATTCTCAGAGGTGACAGCTGATCTAGGCAAGTAACTTGCAGCAAAGGAGTCAAAAGGCAGTGCTGGCTTCCCAGAGAGAGTGGCTGATATCCTCACCTCCTTCTTGGCCCCTCTGATGTGGGATCTCTTTCCCTGGAGCCTATGTGCTGTGGGAGTACCTGGATCCCCTTAGGAGGGGCCTGGGCATTTTTGTATCCCAAGCCTAGCCCAGAACTTGGCACATGGCAAGTACTCAGTAAATGTTGCTTGAACTTAATTGAAATGAGAGCTAATTACAGCCTCCTCATACATCATTCTTTCATTCACTCATTCATTCCATGTGCCAGTTTCTGTGCGAGGCCCTGAGTCAGACAAAGAGGAAAAACATGTGTCAAAGTAGCCTACAGTTTAACCAGAGACAGACAGGCCAGGGCAGAGGAAAGAGTGCCAGGCTGAGTGGTGGACATCTGGACCCTAGTCCAGGTTCTGTGTCTGAACAACCTGTGACTCCAAGTAAGTCCCTTCTGTGGACCACTGCTCCCATCTTTAAAGGCACAGCCTGGAGTCAGTCCTTGTGGAGTCATTTCTCACCTTAAATAGTAATATTTTTAAGGCATTTGGACAGGCTAAGACAGAGGCTGCAAACTTATAGGCTTTCACGGGCCAGGCAGGGAACAGGGAGTGGAGGGTTGAACTGGTGAGGACATATCCTTACAAAGAGAGTCACCAGTTCCCACTATGTGGGAGCCCGTGTCAATTACCAAGTCATTCGTCTTTTCCAGTGAAGTCAGAAGTCTGGGGTGATGATGATGGTGGAATTTCTTAACATTTCAATCATTAAGCAAGCCAAACAAAACTCCTCTGCTAGCTTGTCCACAGTAACAGTTTTGCAAACCCTGCAAGGTCTGCCCTTGGTTCAGAGCCTTCTGACTTCTCTACTCCGAGCAAGAAGAGGCCTTGGACTCAAAGGTTCATTCTCAAATTTGGAGAGGGAAGTGGGATGGGAGGTTTGCTTAATAATTTCTCACAAAGAGGGGCATCCCTCATAGGGGCATACCCCTTTCTTGGGATAATGGGCATCCCTGGGGTTAGGGGTGGGCTGGGGGTGGGGCAGTGAGTGCCCACCTCCAAACCAATCATAACATTTAAAACACCATTTTTATAGCAAAGCTCTTGAATAGCCACAGGAAGGAAGAGGACAGCTCTAGGAATCATTTGTATATGAATACCTTGGAGATATTGTAGGTTCAGTTACAGACCGCTGCAATAAAGCATATATCAAAATAAAGCAAGTCACACAAATTTTTCGGTTTCCCAGTGCATATAAAAGTTATATATATATATACACACACACATACACACACACACATATATACACACACACGTAAGTTATATAAACTTATATGTATATATACACATATAAGTATATATAATTTATACATATATACATATGTATGTATATAGAGATATATATAACTTTTATACTATACAACTTTATACTATATATGTATATATACACACATATAACTTTTATGCTATACTACTTTTATACTATATATGTATATATGTATATATACACACATATAACTTATACTATACTACTTTTATACTATATATACATATATGTATATAGAACTTTTATACATATAAGTATATGTAATTTATATATATGCATATGTAAACATATATATAACTGTGTAATTCTATTGTGCACTTAATAGACTACAGTACATTTTATAAAAATATTTTCTAAAAATAAATAGAATTATTAGAATAGCATAATAGAATTAAACAAAATATATATACAGTATAAAATATGCATATATACAGTATAAAATATACTGTAGTCTATTAAGTGTATACAGTATATACATATATGTGAATATGTACATATATACAGTATAAAATATACTGTAATATACTGTAAATATAATGGCATCAAGAATGGTGAATCCTATTCAGATGGTTTTCAATTTACTTTGCCCAGATCCATCAGAGGAATCACTATCCGTGGCAGCTAAAGCCTAACAAAACGTATACAATGTAATATATATACCTATACATATATATACGTATACAGTGTAAAATATACTGTAGCCCCTTAAGTGTGCAATAGAATTACACCCAAAAACAATATATATCTTAATTTTAAAAACTTTATTGCTAAAAAATGCTAACAATCTGAGCCTTCAGTGAGTCTTAATCTCTTCTTGATGGTGGAGGGTCTTGCTTCGATGTTGATGACTGCTGACTGATCAGTTTGGTGGTTGCTGGTGACTGGAGTGGCTGTGGTAATTTCTTAAAATAAAAAAACAGTGAGTTTGCTGCGTCAATGGACTTTTCCTTTCACTAAAGATCTCTCTGTAGCATGCACCGCTATCTGAGAGCATTTTATCCACAGTAGAACTTCTTTCAAAATGGGAATCAATCCTCTCAACCCCTGCCACTGCTTTATGAACTCAGGTTATATAATACTCTAAGTCCTTTGTGGTCATTTCAACAATGTTCACAGCATCTTTACCAGGAGTAGATTTTATCTCAAGAAACTATTTACTCATCCACAAGAAGCAACTCCTCATCCATTCTTCAGGCTCCACTTCTAATTCTGGTTCTCTTGCTATTTCCACCACATCTGCAGTTACTTCCTTCACTGAGATCTTGAACCCCTCAAAGCTATTGACAATGTTTGGAATCAACTTCTTTTAAATTTCTGTTAATGTTGATATTTTTACCTTTTCCCCTGAATTATGAATGTTCTTAATGGCATCAAGAATGGTGAATCCGATTCAGACGGTTTTCAATTTACTTTGCCCAGATCCATCAGAGGAATCACTATCTATGACAGCTGAAGCCTAAGATTTGAAAGTTGAAGTTACTCCTTGATCCATGGGCTGCAGAATGGATGTTGTGTTAGCCAGCATGAAAACAACATTAATCTCCTTGCACACCTCCATCGGAGCCCTTGGGTGACTAGGCGCATAGTCAATGAGCAGTAATATTTTGAAAGGAATCATTTCTTCTGAGCAGTAAGTCTCAACAGTGGGCTTAAAATATCCAGTAAACCATTCTTAAACAGATGTGCTATTATCCAGGTTTTGTTGTTCCATTTTTAGAGCATAGGCAGAGTAGACTGAGCATAATTCTTAAGGACTGTAGGATTTTTGGAATGATAAATAAGCATTGTTTTCATCTTAAAGTCATCAGCTATGTTAGCCCCTAAAAAGAGAGTCAGTCTGTCCTTTGAAACTTTGAAGCTAGGCATTGACTTCCCCCTTCTAGCTGTGCAAGTCCTAGATAGCATCTTCTTCCAATATAAGGCTATTTCTTATACACTGAAAATCTGTTTTTCAGTGTAGTCACCTTCATCAATTATCTTAGCTAGATCTTTTGAATCACTTACTGCAGTTTTTACATCAGCACTTGCTGCTGCTTCTTTGAACTTTTACATTATGGAGAGGACTTCTTTCCTTAAACCTCAAGAACCAACCTCTGCTAGAATAAAACTTTTCTTCTGCAGCTTCCTCTCCTCTTTCAGTCTTCATAGAATGAAAGAAAGGTACTGTCTTGCTCTGGATTAGGCTTTGGCTTAAGGGAATGTTGGGGCTGGTTTGATCTTCTGTCCAGACCACTAAAGCTTTCTCCACATCAGCAATAAGACTGTTTTGCTTTCTTATCATTTGTGTGTTTACTGGAATAGCACTTCTGATTACCTTTAAGAACTTTTTCTTTGCATTCACAACTTGGCTGTGGGGCACAAAATGCCTCACTTTTGGTCTGTCTTGGCTTTTGATATGCCATCCTTACTAAGTTTAATTATTTCTAGCTTTTGATTTAAAATGAGAGTCATGTGACACTTTCTTTGACCTGAACACTTACAAGTCAAAGTAAGGTTATTAATTGGCCTAATTTCAATATTGCTGTGTCTCAGCAAATAGAGAGGCCCAAGGAGAGGAATGGCCAGCCAGGGGAGCAGTCAGAACACACACAATATTTACCAATTAGGTTGGCCATCTTACGTGGGTACAGCTCAGGACGCCTCAAAACAATGACAATAGGAATATCCAAGATCACTGATCACAGATCATAGATCACCATAACAACTGTAATAGTAATTTAAAAGTTTGAAATAATGTGAGAATTACCGAAAAGTGACACACAGACACAAAATGTGCACATGCTGTTGGAAAACTGGCACCAAAAGACTTGTTCAAGGCAGGGTTGCCACAAAGCTTCAGTTCGTAAAAAACACAGTATCTGTGAAGCACAATAAAGTGAAGCATAGTAAAATGAACTGTGCCTGTATTTAACTTTCACGTGCTCTGTGTAGATCAGATTCCAACTTAATAGAAGTATTTATTGAACCTACTATGCACAGACTTCTGGGAGTACAGAAGAACATAATGCTTGCCCTCAAAGAGACTATGCTGACTCTCATTCACTTGAAGTCAACTCAATGTTTATTGAGTTCCTGTCTTGGGCTCAGTGGGGATGGGATAAAGAAGAAAAGAGGATGAGTTAGCCAGTGTCTGCCCCCCAAGGTATCACAGCCTGTTAAGGAAGTAGGCTGTAGACAAAAATGACTCTAAGTCTGGCCATAGTAGCAGCTTTAATAGAAATTCAAACAGCGTCTGAACATGCATGCTTCACGAATTTGCACATTTGCTTAGGCTACTATTTAAATTACTTTCCTTTCCCCGTGCACACGCCAATAGGCAGTAGAGAAGACAGCCCAGGTGCTCCCCAAGCTGGCTGGGGGGAGGGGGTGGGGGCGGGAAAGAGGATGATGCTGGAAGAATCAGATTGAGGTGAACACAAGGCTGCAGATATTCCACGAAGTGGACAATCAAGAGTCAACCCTGAAACCACCTCTCCCTCTGACCTGGCAGCTTTCTCATGACCATTCTTCTCTCTTCTTCCGTCTTTGTCCCTTCTGTGTGCCCCCTCCTCCAACACCCTCACCCGCTTCTCCCCGCCTCTGTCTGTCTGTCCCTCCCTGCCTGGCTCATGCCGAGGGCAGGCACCTCTGTCAGCCTCCTCGCAGTTGTAGTTATTGTGTGTGGCGTGGCCCTGGTGGCAGTTTTTCTCTTTCTCTTTTGGAAGCTGTGCTGGATGCCCTGGAGGAACAAGGAGGCCTCCAGTCCCTCTTCTGCTAATCCCCCCTTGGAAGCCCTCCAGAGCCCCAGCTTCAGAGGCAACATGGCGGACAAGCTGAAGGACCCCAGCACCCTGGGCTTCCTGGAGGCGGCCGTGAAGATCAGCCACACATCCCCAGATATCCCAGCTGAGGTGCAGATGTCGGTCAAGGAGCACATCATGCGTCACACGCGGCTGCAGCGGCAAACTACAGAGCCAGCCTCATCCACCAGGTGAGGAGTGGACCGCTCCCTTCCCTGATCCCACACCTCCACACTCCCTTAATACATCTATGGGATTCCAGCCTGTGAGGATCAGAGATCAGAAATAATAACACATATCCTTTGATGGAGAAATATGTCAGAAGATGTGATCCATGATGGGTGATCGAGGAGGAAAGACTTCACGAAAGGGAAACCTTTGAGGCTGGTTGCTGTACATGTGGTGTGCACTTGGGGTATGTGTGGATATGAGGGGAATGGAATAGTGGAATTGGGGAGTGTCGGATGTTTGGAAGGAAAGGCTTCAGGCAGAAGGAAGAGAAGGGCAAAGGCCTGGAGAGGTAAGAGTTCATGGTGTGTTTAGGGATATGTCAGTAAAGCCCGATAGCTACAGTCTGCAGTGCGTGGCAGATAAGGCAAGAGAGTCTTAATAGTTTGAGAATGAGGATTCCTTTAAAGCCTTTCAGAGTTCCCTGTATGACAACAATTGTAAATACATACAGCATCCTTTAACTGAAAATAGCAACAAGAAAAACGTAACGACAAAAACCTACCCCAAATTCAGAAATACTTTTAAAAGATGTGGCGCAAGCATGCGTAAGGCATTGTATTTACTCAAAACTTAGGGCTCTGATGGATTCCTAGGTCCCTGCAATGGCTCTCCAGGCCCTCAGGGGACCAACCAAAGAGAATGAGTCCTGATCTTCAGACTGGAGGCCAGGAATGAACATGCTAGGGGGTCACACTGACAGTTTGTCATATGGCCTTGGGCAAGTTCCTCACCTTCCCTTAGCCTCGCTTTTTCCAACTGTAAAATAAGGCTGATGACTTTTATATGGCAGTTGTGAGGAGCCAATGGAAGAATGAATGTAATCGATAAGGAGAGCTAACACATATATTGCTTATGATTATGCTTGGCTCTGTTCTAAGCACTTCATATGTAATCAATTCATTTTACTCTCACAGCAATCCTATGTGGTTGTTACTTTTATTATCCTCGTTTTTATGGCACAGAGAGGTTAAATAACTTTCCCAAGATCTCAACTGGAAAGTGACAGAGCCAAGACTGACCTATGCAGTCTAACTCCAAAGCCCATGCTTTTACCACTCCGCTGCCTGCTGTATAGCAAATGCCCAACAAATGGAGATGCTGATGACGGTGATGAAGGGGGTGCCACACTGATGATAAGAAGGGATGGTCCTTCTCTTAAGGGATCTCATGATTTAATAAGGAAACCAGAGTTTTGTCTACTAGGAAGTAAACCTAAAAAGCAGGTAACAGAAAAGCAGGAAAAAGTGATTATGATAGCAATGGCTAACATTTATTGAGCTTACTATATATCAGGCGCCATTCCAACTACTTTACATATATTAAGACATGTAATGCTCACCACAACCTTGTACACCAAGTGTGTGCAGAGGAAAAGTGGGGTCAAGAAGAGGAAGGAAGAGGGGGCTCAACAAGGGATACAATGAGCCAGGGCTTCCAGGCTCGTGTCTGCCTTCATCCCCCTTCCCCTGAGCCCTGACCACACTCCCTCTGCCCCCTCCTGCCCTCTACCAGGCACACGTCCTTCAAGCGCCACCTGCCAAGGCAGATGCACGTCTCCAGTGTAGACTATGGCAACGAGCTTCCACCAGCAGCAGAGCAGCCCACCAGCATTGGCCGCATCAAGCCTGAGCTCTACAAGCAGAAGTCGGTGGATGGGGACGATGCCAAGTCTGAGGCCACCAAAAGCTGCGGGAAGATCAACTTCAGCCTACGTTATGATTACGAGACGGAGACCCTGATTGTGCGTATCCTGAAGGCTTTTGACCTCCCTGCCAAGGACTTTTGTGGAAGCTCTGACCCTTATGTCAAGATCTACCTCCTGCCTGACCGCAAATGCAAGCTGCAGACCCGGGTGCACCGCAAGACCCTGAACCCCACCTTTGATGAGAACTTCCACTTCCCTGTGCCCTATGAGGAGCTGGCTGATCGCAAGCTGCATCTCAGCGTCTTCGACTTCGACCGCTTCTCCCGCCATGACATGATTGGTGAGGTCATCATGGACAACCTCTTTGAGGCCTCTGATCTGTCTCGGGAAACCTCCATCTGGAAGGACATCCAATATGCCACAAGTGTGAGTACAGCCCTGTTCCTTGGCTTTTTGAGGATTTGTGGTTCTGGGTTGGGTTGGACATGTCCCCAACCCCTCATTTCCTAGAGACAAATGGGCCTTTTCCTTTTGGGATAGGAAGAGGGACTCTGGAAACTGCCCAGTGGCCCAGCCTACCCTTGCACTCTGCCCCAGGTTGGAATGGCAGACAGCAGAGTCCCCATGTAGCTAGGAAGGGGAGGGATTTTTTATCTGTGGCTTCTGGTTGCATGTTCTGGGATGGTTCTTTCTACTGAGAGTACTGATATAGAGAGTACTGATATAGATACAGAAACCTGGCATAGGCAATCGAAACAGGCCATATCAATTAGGCTGAACCAGGCTATGCTGCAGCAGCAAACGATCTGAGGATTTTGTGGCTTTAGACAACCAAAGTTTATGCCTTGTTCATGTTTTGTGTGCTTTGCATCTGGGCTGGGGACTCTACTCCACCTTGTTACCTGGGGACCCAAGCCAACAGACGCTGCATTTAGACACGGGCCCCCACAGTTAAACATCAGGAGGAAGAGGAAGTGGCAAATCATGCACTGTTTATTAAAGCTTCCACGCAGAAGTGACACATGTCACTTCCACTCCCATTAGAACAAGACACATGGTAACTCCTAATATCGAGGGAGAAGGGGCAAATTAATCCTACCGAGTGCCCAGAAGGAGAGCTGGACATACCTAATGAACAGCACAAATGACGACACAGAGCAGAGTCCCTTCGCTTGGGCATTGTTTTCCCAGTCATGTATGGGAGATGGGGGAGGCCAGCCCAAAAGGAGACCTGACTAACCCCTACACAGGAGGTGGGTGCTGGGCTGTTTGCAATCAGCTGGAATTAACCAGGGAAGGTTTCAAGGAGCTGGGGCTCAAGTTGGCTTTTAAGAGAAGAGAGCACAGGTTTGGCACAGAGAACTGGAGAGGGCACATCTGGAGCCCTTCGGTCTGGCATAGCCCTTCGCTCCAGTCCCGAGTTGAGGAAACTGTATAGCTGCGTCCTGCAGGTATAGCTAGTATCCTCTCTCTAAGCCACCCCCCCACCCCCAGGCAGCTAAGAGCTCAGTGGGGGCGTTCCCTCCAAGCTCCAGTGGCCTTGCATCTGCTGTCTGGAGTGCTAACAGGTTGAGCAGCAACCTGGATATTTCCTGCGCTGTATCTCTGAGGAGGGGCGACCCCACTCTGTCTGCAGACTCCCGCTCAGATAGTCAATACTCAATATCTCTGTGTTGAGCCTGTGAAGAGAGGGGCTGGGAAAATCAGCCCTGCTCTGGCGTGCAAAGGGTGTAAATCTTGATTTGTTCGAAGTGAGAAAGCTTGGTGGGCTCTGCTTACACCCCAGGAAGAGTCTGGGGAACACCCCATTCTCATAGCTTGTGCTGACTTTGACCAGTCCAGCCCAATGGCCCAGGGCCTCCCCCACCTTTGCTTTCCTGAAATGTCATCCCTAAGAAGAACATAAGTAGCCGGCTGGCTAGCAGGCAGACAGGGCGGCAGACCGGGTGGATCAGAACAGCAGCTGTGCGGCAGCCCCAGGCCCGAGCGCTCCACCCCATAAATCACTCTGAAGTTTACATCTGGTGCAGCTCTTCCCTGTGGTCTCCTTAGGCTGTGGTTTCATTATGGTAACTGGGCAGGTAGAGAAAAGCAGCTCAGCCCTCCTCAGAGTGAGGCTGCCACCCAGGGAAGGGCGTGAGGGCCAGGGGCTGCAGGAAGCAGAGCTCAGCTCAGCCCTTCTAGGAGCCTCCTTTGCTCCTTGCCAGAGTCCACCATCTGGTGTCTTTGGCTCTAGGCATGACTGGAAGCCTCATGCCTGGGATAAGCAGTCTGTGCCCAAGCACACTTCTCACCTGGATGCACCTTTCCATATCCGAGAACCCCGTGGCTGTCCTGCCCTTGTCCCATCACCACTTCCCCAGCCTGGCTTCTGAAAAGGGCAGATCAACCAAAGAGCATGGAACAAATCACCACCATCCTCATCATCCTCAACTATTATCATTATAGACCCCCTCCCTCTCCTCCTCCTAAGAACACTGTGCCAGGCATGGGGGTGAGGGGGGACTGGGGTAGGAAACAGCCTCTTTGACCCACAGAAACTTGTCATCTAATTACAGAGACAGGAAAAGTCCATGCAGTAGCTGGCAGTGCAAAGCAGCAAATACGATCCGCTGTGTACGGTTGTAGGAGCCTTAGAGTTAGGACAGCTGGTGAAGGTCTCCTGGATAAGGAGAACTAAATCAGGTGGGGAAGGACAGTCATAAATAAGTCAACAGCCCAAGAGGAAGGGACAGCATTCCAGCCAGGTGCAGCGGGAGTCCAGGTGCAGAGGGAGTCCAGGCGCAGAGCGAGTCCAGGTGCAGAGGGAGTCCAGGCGCAGCGGGAGTCCAGGCGCAGAGGGAGTCCAGGCGCAGAGCGAGTCCAGGCGCAGAGGGAGTCCAGGCGCAGAGCGAGTCCAGGTGCAGAGGGAGTCCAGGTGCAGAGCGAGTCCAGGCTCAGAGGGAGTCCAGGCGCAGAGCGAGTACAGGCGCAGAGGGAGTCCAGGCGCAGCGGGAGTCCAGGCGCAGAGGGAGTCCAGGCGCAGAGGGAGTCCAGGCGCAGAGCGAGTCCAGGTGCAGAGGGAGTCCAGGCGCAGAGCGAGTCCAGGTGCAGAGGGAGTCAGGGCAGGGGAGTCAGGTGCAGGGGGTCCAGGCGCAGAGGAGTCCAGGTGCAGAGGGAGTCCAGCTGCAGGAGTTTCCCGAGCTGGAGCTGGATGTTTCTTCTCAAGTGAGTCCCCTGCCACCCTCCAACCCACAGCCCCGCCAGCAGATAGAATTCTCAGGAGCAGGTTCATCAGCCTGCCAGGCAAGGACTCAAGCAAAAAGAGGGGGAAGAGGTGCAAGAAGGCTGGTGCTTGTACCTATTTGTGGTGCTGTCACATTTTAATTATTTGGGGGCCAGGGGGCCCAAGTCATCATAGTCACCAGGAATGACAGAGCACTGGGTGTATATGAATTTCCACAGCCAGCACAATGGGGAGCAATACTGACGAGCTGAGCTCAGCCAACAGCCAGCTCCCATCTCTCCCATGTGTCTGATTCCATTCCCAGAGCTGCCCTTTGGACCTGAGCTCAGGAATCCAGCAGCTTCAGAAAAACACCTGACATTTCTGCCTCTTGCCTTTGCCAACAAGTTCTCCATGTCAGGCAGGCCTGTTCCCACCTCTCTGCCTGGTGCAAACCAGTCCACCTTTCAGAGCCTAACTGCCGTCATCCTCCATGTGGCCTCCCGGTCTCACAGCAGCTGCCTCTCCAGTGTGTTCTCTGTATCCCCAAGTTATATCCTGAGTCATATTCTACCTTGTAAAGTCCTTCCAATGGCTCAGGAATGGCTTGTGACCCATATTTGACTTTCTCTTATATTTGCCCTCAGGGCTGAGTGTAAGAACCCAGTACTTTCTTGTTAAATGACCAGTGGCTTACTTAATTCAATTAAAACTATATATGGGTGCCCAAGGAAAAGACTATTAAAGAAGCAGTTGGAATTGAATGGAGTTAACCTGGGAAGGCTTCTTGGAGGAGAAGCAGCTTAAGTAGTATTTAGAAAATGGCTTAGAGCCAGGCTTGGTTGGGAGAGACCCAGCCTGTGCTCTTGTTCAGAGGTGAATGGGATGGTTTGTGTCTGGAGTAACCAGTCAGATCAGGTAGTCTGGACCAAAGCAGAGGGTCCGTGACCCACACGCTGAGCAGAAGGAAAGGTGCCATGAGAAAGGGGACTTGGAGGCTGCTCTGTGCTCACCAAAGTGATGTGAATGCTGCCTGTGTTGTTCCCTGAGTTTGTGCAGGAGAGTCAGATTGAGCCCTGGCAGGTGGCACCAGGCAGGTCCCTTGTTCCCGCCCCCGCCCTTGTGCTTGACTTGAAGTACCAAAGCCTGAAACATTTGCATTGTTTTCTCACAAACACAGAACCCTGAGCTCAAGGCTAGTGAAGGGGAGGTACGCATCCAGGGAGTCTAGCTCTTTGTTAATTGCAAATCTTAAGCCTCAAGGGACACTCACCTCCCTACCCTAGATTGTTCCAGAGGGAAGTCTGGGCAGCACAGCAGCTCATATGCCCCACTGGCTGGAGAGCCAGAGCAAACCAGGCCTGCAGGACAGTCAGAGGCCTCTTGCATTGCGTGGAATTAAGAAACTCAGGCCTGGGATGGAAATTTTGGGAGTTCACCACACCCATTCCAGCCCTGGGAAGCGCTGCCCTCCTGCTTCCCCCATCTCTCCTCCTGCCTGGCTTGCCCAGGGGCCCCTGATGGTCTCTTGGGCATACCCAGAGCTTTGCCACTCTCTCCAACCAGAGCTTCAATTGGCTAAAATCACCACGCTCTTCCCTCCTAGCGTCTTCTGCCCCCAGTCTCATTATTTCTAAATAAAGCTGTAGATTTATCATTATAATAGAGCTGCCGTCACCCGGGTTTGCTAACATCTCTAATCTTGTAGTTATTGCTACAGAGGACTCAGACCCCACCGCACACAACTATTCCTGTGGCTATTCCCTCTCCTTCACTGTAGTGGGAGACGAAGGCTGTAATTGGGGACATAAATATGTGCTGTGCTTGGTGGTGCTAATGGATTCAGCCATCTTCCTGCCTTACCAGGTCCCTACTAGTTTAGAGTGTGCATGTGTGTGTGTGTGCATGTGTGTTGTTTTTGGACTAGGCTAGAGTGTGTGTGTGCATGCATGTGTATGTGTATGTGAGTGTGCATTTGTGTGTGTGTGTGTTTTAGGGGTGATGAAGTGTTCCATATTCTTCCAGAGAACCTGGACTGAGGGTATGCAGGGAGGAAGGGAGGCCTTAAATGGTAGAATAGCCTCTGGTCTGGAAATGAGCAGAGCTGTGCAGAAGGAGTGCAGGCTTTATTGTCAACCCAACCTGAGTTGCATTCTCACTTCCTTACTTTCTAGCTTTAAAACCTTGGGACATTATCTAAACTGTGCCTCAGGTTTGACAT